GAGGAAGAGGAAGAGGAGGAGGAAGAGGAAGAAGGAGGGAGAAGGAGAAGGGTGGAATGCACTTATAAAGAAGAAGAACAAGAAAAAGAAGAGGAAGAGGAAGAGGAAAAGAGGAGGAGGAGGAGGAATGCACTTATAAAGCTATTGACCACTAAGGTGATGTAGAATGTAGAATTCTTTATTGCCCAAGTGTGATTGGACACATGAGGAATTTGTCTTGATGTAAATACTCTCAGTATACATAAAGAAAAGGTACATTCGTTAAGAATCAAGAATCATAACGTACAACACTTAATGATAGCCATAGGGAACAATCAACAATCAAATCATACTAGGAAACAGTCAATATAAATCGTAAGGATACAAGCGACAAAGTTACAGTCCTACAATCACAAGTGGAAGGGGATGGGTGATAAGGAGTGATGAGAAGATTAACAGTAATAGTAGTGTACACTTTGTAAATAGTTGAACAGTGTTGAGGGAATTATTATTATTATTATTTTGTAAATTTTATTTGAGTTTTCACAAAAAAATACAAATAAAACACCTTTTTTGAAAGTATCATAATCCCGGGTTACATTTCTTCGTACAGACACAAATTCAATTTCATGCTCATTTTTATGTTCTATTCCATATCTTATTACTGTTTTACATTTTCTACATAGCTTCTCCCCTCTTTTAATTTTCTCAAGTTTATTTTAATTATCTCATCTCAATTCAAATCATTATATTTATACTTTTTGTCTGTCCTGTTTCAATTTCATATTATCTTTTCTCATTAAACAAAGTTTCTCCTGTAGTTGCTGATTGAAGTATGACACCTTTATATCTTTTAATTTTATCCATTTAACTCTTATTTAAGCTTCAATATATACCTTAAAGTTATAACATTCAATATAGTATATAACTTCCATTCAGATTCTGCTTGGTGCATTCTTAAAATACACACTATATTCTTTTTAAAAAAAGATTATAAATATATGTAATTAAAACAACACATTCCATTCCAATTCAATTCTATCATTAATGTGAATATTCATTAAAATCTTATCTTCTTTAACATTACTTTTCAATTAAATATCATACCTCTATGAGAACAGTTATAAGCTTTCCATAATTAATTTCTCCCCCTTCACTTATATTTTATAAAACATTAACTAATGAAAATGTTCCCATCCCTTCCTAATTCAATTTTCTCATTTATTTTATTTCATTTATTTTATTAACAAACATTTCACTAGATTACAGTAACTATTTTATCCCTCATTTTAATCATACATTGTTTCCAATTTTCTAAAATTATTTCTACTACTAATATAACAATACAATCTTATGCACTTTTACAGAATCCCCTTTTCAGTTAAATTTTCACCCATTATCTCTAAATAGGCCCTGTTTCTCTATATCTTGTTTCTGTCCTTTGTAACTTCTTTTCCTTTCCTTCTTCCCTCTCTTCTTCTCTCACCCCTTTTTACCCCCTTGTATCTCTACCTCTATGACTCTCTTCTGTATTCCCCTCTTCTGTTGCTTTCCAATATTATAGTTATTTTTCGAAGTATTTTTCTTTTCTTTGGTTGTTTTTTTAAGTCTTAAATTCTCCATTCTCTTTCCCCCCTTTCCTTTTTCTTCCCCACATAGAATTACTTGTTCATTAAAGATGGCTTCTTCTTTGTCCAGTCTTCTTGTTTTGCAGACGTTTCTTGTTGTTTCTCATAGTTCCAAATCTCCATTTCTAAGAATTGAAAAACAAAGCCAAAAGAACCCCTCCCTTCTTGTGCATCTTGTTTGTACTTTTTAAGTTCCATTTTCAATTCATCCAGAAGTAGTGCCATTGTATAAATTTTTAAACAACCACCCGATTAATTTTAGTCATTCAAATGCAATAACCAAGAATCCAAAGATCACCAAGTAATCCAAATACATGCAAGCTGTTTCTTTTTGCTTCTTTTTTTTCACTTTCTCTTCCTGGGGTTCTACTATTTAGTTGCCAAGTTTCAGTTAAAATGTATCTTTTAGAAGTCTTGTTTTACTGTAGATTCCTTTTAATTCCAGGCAGTCTCCTCCCTTTTTTCCAGATCCTGCCCTTTTATTCTTTTTCTCTCCTTTCCTGCTTATAAAAATTTTTTAGCGTCCAGAAATCTTTATTATCCCTTTGACATTTTGTTTTATTTTCAATTTAATTGCCTGTTGATGTCAAAGCAGATTTTTTTTTCCGATTTCTTATTTAAGTCTCTTAGTAGTCAGGATAGGGAAACGGAGAGAAGAAGAAGGAAAAACCAAACCTTTCCCTTTTCACTTTCCTTCGCTGCTTCAGAATCTTCTTTGGGAACGATGTTATCTTTTTTTTAGTTTAAATTCCAGGGTACCTTAGTTGTTGCTTTTGCAATTTAACCCGGTCAGCCAAAACTTTCACTTCTTATCTTCCTCCTGCACATTCTTTTCCCGTCGAGTTCTTCTTTGAGGTGGCCATTTCTGACCACCGCTGCAACCGCCTTCGGGAAAGGGAGTAATGGCCATCTGAGGAGGAGAGATGCGGCTCTCCTCAACCCTGCTGGCAGTCTCCCCACTCTTCACCACCTCTATGGGGAGGCTTAGCCCCGAAACCAGCCAGCTCGGGGCGCTCCAGGGGCGAGCCCAGACCGAAACCGCACATGATCACGGATTTCTGTCTGTCGCCGAAGAAGCTCAAACCGGAAGCCAGTCAGTGTTGAGGGAATTATTTGTTTAGCAGAATGATGACGTTCGTGGGAAAAAACTCTTCTTGTGTCTAGTTATTCTGGTGTGCAGTGCTCTATAGCATCGTTTTGAGGGTAGGAGTTGAAACAGTTTATGTCGAGGATGTGAGGGGCCTGTAAATATTTTCACAACCCTCTTTTTGACTCATGCAGTATGCAGGTCCTCAATTGAAGGCAGGTGGGTAGTAATTGTTTTTTCTGCAGTCCTAATTATCCTCTGAAGTCTGTGTCTGTCCTGTTGGGTTGCAGAACCAAACCAGACAGTTATAGAGGTGCAGATGATAGCTTGAGTAATTCCTCTGTAGAACTGTATCAGCAACTCCTTGGGCAGTTAGAGCTTTCTGAGTTGATGCAGAAAGAACATTCTTTGTTGTGCTTTTTTGATGATGTTTTTGATGTGAGGTGTCCATTTTAGGTCATGTGATATAGTAGAACCTAGAAATTTGAAGGTCTCTACTGTTGATACTGTGTTGTCTAGTATTGTAAGAGGTGGTAGTATAGGAGGGTTTCTTCTAAAGTCTACCACCATTTCTATGGTTTTGAGTGTGTTCAGTTCCAGATTGTTCCGGTTACACCACGAGGCAAATTGTATAACCTCCTGTCTGTATGCAGATTCATCGTCTCGAATGAGACCAATCACTGTTCTGTCATCAGCAAACTTCAGTATTTCAACAGATGGGTCATTTGAGATGCAGTCATTGGTATATAGGGAGAAGAGAAGTGGAGATAGCACACAGCCTTGGGCGGCTCCTGTGCTGATTGTACAGGTATTGGATGTGATTCCGCCTAGCTTCACCTGCTGCTTCCTGTCTGTTAGGAAGCTTATGATCCACTTACAAATGTGTTCAGGTACTGCTAGTTGGTTTAATTTACTTAGAAGAGTGTCTGGAATGATGGTGTTGAATGCTGAACTGAAGTCTACAAAGAGGACCCTTGCGTAGGTATTTGGAGATTCAAGGTGTTGTAGGATGTAATGCAGAGCCGTGTTAACAGCATCATCTGTCAATCTATTTGCTCAGTATGCAAACTGCATGGGATCTAACAGTGGATCCGTGATGGTTTTCAGATGGGACAGCACAAGCCTTTCAAAGATTTTCATAACTACAGATGTTAGAGCAACTGGTCTGTAGTCATTCAGTTCCTTGATGGAGGGCTTCTTTGGCACTGGGATGATGGTAGAACATTTGAAGCAGGAAGGAACACAGCACATCTCTAGTGATCTATTGAAGGTTCGGGTAAAGATGTGGGCCAATTGGTCAGCACAGATTTTTAAGCAAGAAGGAGTTATCTTGTCTGGCCCTGGTGCTTTTCCTGGCTTCTGTCTGTGTAATAGATCTTGCACTTCTTTTTCTGTGATCACCAGAGATTGTGAGCCCAATGGATTGGGGCCAGTT